ATTCTGTTGTTTGTAGTAATACTATTTCCTCTATTTTCATCCCCAAGGAAAGTATAACTCTATATATATTATAAATGTTATAAATGGCTTTAGCTAAGTTTAATTAATAATAAAATAAATCTAAATCAGGAAGCAACAGTAAATTCCCAATTATAGAAAATCTAAACAACTAGAAACTTTATAAAAAGATCCTAAAAGTGGAATCTGTTTGCCATACTGTAGAATATAACATCTATAATAAGATATCCACAGTGTGTTTTGAATCTTACCAGAATTAAAATTATATTCAGGATAGCTTTAGCAGGAAGTAAAATTGAGTATTTTTCTGAAATGAAAACTCTTTTAAGTAGTCTTGAGTATTTGATTAACTTACAAAACATCTCATTCCCCTACTTGTGTTTAGAGTAGGAAGGAAATGGCTAAAAAGAATACTTTATTATGCTCTTCTAGCAACAGCCGTTGGAGAGATTCTTTCCAAGGAGGCAGGATCCACCACAGCCACCCTTCTGCGTGTGCAGCTTCACCCCCCCTTCCCCTCACACTTGCCCGTTTGTGTGCCCAGGAGTTCCAGGTGCTGTGCTGGGAATGTTAATGCCAGCAGCCCAGGGCAGAGAAGTGCGATTTCCCAGCCAAGGGTGCAGGAAAACGATGCCAGCTTTACCCAGGATCTCTCATGTCCCTTTTCCCTTTCTGACTGGAGATGCTGTTCAGCCATTTGTTGGGACTCAGCTGTCTTCGTAAATATGCGAACGGTGTAAAAAACCGGCAACAGTCCTGAGAAAGCAGTTCCTCTGTTAGACAAAATCCAAGCTGGTTCCACCAATTATTTCTTCTTGCATAGGAAAATTTAATATTATTCCATGCTTAGTCATTACATATTTTGATTCTCTATGTTACCTTAGATATTCTTAGTTTTAGACCAATTTATTCTCTTTCATACCACCTCTTTTTTTTCTAAAATGCCTCATAGGAAAACCCAGAGGTTTGGATGGTGTGTTCTATGGCAGCAATCCCAGAAACATAAAAACCTCATAAACCTCACATCATGTGTCTCCCTCCACCTAATCCATATCTTAGCTGCCGCTGGTAATACAGACTGGCCTTGTCAGCAAGGTTTACCCTCCATCCAGCTGCTCTCCCAGCTAGCCCTGTATTTGGCTGTATTTATACCTTTTCCTGGATTACTAAAGCAGTTCTCACTGTTGTAGAAGAGAACACCTAAAATCGATTTAATAATGTGCTTCAATATGGAGGAGACTGTACATTCTAGTCTCCTTTCAAATGATACAAGAAAAAGTGGACTTGGATTACAGCGTGAGGCATTTTAGATAGACTCTATATGACGTTATGTTCACTTGTAGAGTGTTCCACTGGAATAGATGGGCATGGGGGGTGCTAGGGGTTGTGAAATCAACTCCCTTCCCCTGGGAAATTTCACTGCCACCCTGAGGGCAGAACCGCATGCCTCTTGAAGATTGACATTTCTGTGATTATGTGGATTAATTATGTCAAAATTCTGCTCTAGCAAATCTCCAACCCTTGGCAACCTTCTCCCCACTTCACCAATACCATTGTAAACATTGCTTTCTGAGCGTCTTCATGCTCCTGGTTCTGTAATATTTATTTAGGGGAGCCTACCCTGCCCTTTGGCAATAGAGTCCAAAAAAAAAGTTTTATGGTTGTAGAGACGAAATTATTTCTTCCCTGGCCACATGTCATCCATTTTTTCATACTTATTTTGTTCCTTTTCGGTGGTTAGCTTTGGAGTTTTTGTACTTCTGTGTCCCTCTTGTCTCAAGAGGCCTTTCCCTATGATGTTGCTGTGAGAAAAGACACTGAACACACGCACCTCTAGATGTCAGCAGACTCCAGACCTGGAAAGTCAGAGACGCGCTTTCTCCTGCAGATGCTTTCTTCCTCGTCGGGACACTAGCCTTCGTTCTCTGTCTCCTTTCCGCTCCCCTTTTCTTGGCTCTGTTCCTCTTCCCCACCGCACCCGGCTTGTCCCCTGCAAAGGGAGAGCCGAGCTAGCTGCCCCAGCCACTTCTGTCGCAGAGGTTCCCGCGTTCGTCGCTCTGGCCTCGCTCATGTCTTGCTTCTTCGGGGCTGCAGCGGGGCCCCGTCTGTCTGGCGCCCGGTACGTGTTCGGTTGATCTTGAGGCTGAGCCGCAGACCGAGCCTGCTTCTCCTCTCCCCAGCCAGCGCTTTCTGTCTTCTAGGAGCCGACGTCCGCACTGCCAGGATCCAAGATGCTGGGCCTGTGCTGGCAGACACGCTCCGGAAATTCTTATTCGACCTGGACGTGGACGACGGCCTAGCCGCCCTCGGCTACTCCCCGGCCGATATCCCCGCGTTAGTGAAAGGAACGCTGCCCCAGGTAAGCGCGGCCCGCAGTCCCGCCGCCGAGAAGCCGGAGCTACCGGGGAGGCCACGCGGGGGCGTGCGGACCGGGTGAAAAGCTGGGAGCGGGTCCCAGGTCTCCCGGACAACACCCCGCCCGGGTGGGAAGGGCCACGGTTCCTTCCACCTTTCTGTCCTTCCATAAAACTGCAGCTTAGGTGAAGCTTTTATGGCGCAACTGAAAGGATTCTTTATGAAAATTCAAGGCAAAAAACAACTTAATTGATCCTGAGCTATGGAAAAATTTCCCTTTTCCCCAATTCTGCTCTTTTAAGGGTCCTCTGTAAAACTATGTGAAGCTGTTCCAAAAGGACCACTAGTATTATTTTCCATCATAAAGAGTTATAAATTTCTACATCTTTGTTAGGAAATAGGTATGCCTTTCAGACTATTATAAAATTGCTTTTTAATGAATTGGGGAGGTTGTCTATTTTATACGTATCTGTGTCACTTTGGGTCTTAACTGCATTTATTTAAACGTTGCTAAAGAATGTAAACTGAGCTGCCACCGTTTCTTCGGTGAATCATAAAGATGTCAGGTTTCCTCTCCCGAGGTTCTTACGAAGAGAGTCGACACCTCATTGGACCTCTCTTATTATTTAAACGTTGCTAAAGAATGTAAACTGAGCTGCCACCGTTTCTTCGGTGAATCATAAAAGATGTCAGGTTTCCTCTCCCGAGGTTCTTACCAAGAGAGTCGACACCTCATTGGACCTCTCTTACGCTAGAGTGTCAGATCCTAATAGGCCAAGATCCTGTTCATTGTAATCCACCATAAAGCAGAGAGCTCAGAGCTGGGAGCACTTGGCTGGTGGACCACACCATGCTCACCATGCCCTGAATGCTCCCTTAGTGCTCTTGGCCAACATGGGAAAAGCAAGGGTCACATCAATGCTATGAGGATATGAGGATAAGGCTCTTCTGCCCAAAGTTATCAATCCCTGACATTGGAACAGAGTTAACAGCTGGAATATCCATGCTCACAGCCTCCTGCTTACCACAAGTAGCAGTGGGGTGCTTGAACCTCACTAAACTCCAGATAAGGGCCTCAAACTAGATTCTTCTTTCCCACTTGGTCAGTGCTTAGAATGTTGATGACCTCACCACTCACTAAGGTAATATTTATAGAGATCAGGTTCACAGACTCATGTCCACAGCAGCCAGGTAGGTAAGAGCCAACAAAGTAATTTAAGGCAGTAAGGAGTGGTGGAGACCTTGGTGAAATGGAAAGCACATGGCCCAGCTCACTGGGTAAGCAGCTGTTCAGCTATAATTTATCACCAAGCAGAAATTCAGGCCTCTGTGTTGGTAGAACCTCCAACTTTCAAGAAAAATCAGCCATCTGGATGTTTGTGTTGAATTCCCTGGTTTCCTATTGTACAAATGAAACATGATCCATGAGCTTCCAGTTTCCCTGATTTAGATTCAGACCCAGTGGATTCTATTGCATCTAGAAACATAAATGAAAGAGAAACAGGACTCTCAAAGTGTAGCAGAGCCCTAGGGCTAACAAACTCTTAATTCTAACCCATAAGTCAAAGGGACTAAATAGCCAAAGAATATGACTACGTAAGGTCCTCACAGTTATTTATCCAAACGCTCTAGACTGTAAGTTCCGTGAGGGCAGGAATCTGCCTGCTCTGCTCATCCATCCTCTATTGCACTTAGCACAGGCTAGTAAATATGTTAAGTGAGTACATACCTGCAGCCCTCTCTTTCTAAATCCTCTGTCCAGGTGAACTTGATGGCTGAATGGTGGTAACTTTTTGAGAAGTTTCCTTACTGACTAGGTCTCCACCAAAGACAGGGGAGCCATGAAAGCTTTTCCGAGGACACCATAGACTGAATGGCCACCATGATTTCAATGTAGCTTCAGGCTTTTTTAGCATGGTCCCAGTGACACTGTCCATTCTGCAAGGGACCCTCTGAAAAATTCTACTTGTTTAGCCCAGGAAAATGTTCACGAATATGATTTATCTACTTCCAAGAATGGTATACATGATTTTCAGATGAAACTGTGTGATATTCTGGGCCATTTTATTGCTGGCCATTTTATCAGCACACTTTGGCAAGTTTTTGCTGTTCTAATCCTACTGTGCTCAGACTTTCACTTTCAAAAGCTATCCCAGATAGCAGGAGATCTAGACTAATATTCGAGAGCATACTCTAAAATAGCAAGTTAATTAGATATTACTCTGAATTCTCGGTGCACATGTCATACTAGGAAATGACAGATAGCAAAACCTCAATTAGACAAAACAAATTTCTTAGTTTCACAAAAGAGGGGGCATAAGTGGAATCTTTTGAATATAAGTCATGTCTTCAAGTAGGAAGCCAGGTTTTCCTCAAGCTGTAGTCATAAAGCAGACTCAAGGTGTATGCTCCTGTTTTTCCTTTGATCATGTTTTCATGATTAGGAGAAACATTATTAATTTTCATTAACTAGCACTAGTTCCATTTCGGAGTTGATGGTATTAAATATATATATATATATATATATATATATATATGAGGTTCTTCAAAAAGTTCATGAAAGATTCATATTATCTTTAATTCTATTATTCCATGAACTTTTTGAAGAATGTTTGTATTCATAGATTCATAGGACTTTGAAAGGAATCTTAGAAATAAGCTTGTCCATTTTGCAGATGAAGAACTACTATGCGGTTTTTTCATTTTGTTTTTTTGTTTTGTGTGTGTGTGTGTGTGTTGGTTTTTTGGTGGCAGTGAACATTTTACAGGCATGCTAAGACAACTTCAGAATTTTACACAAGTAGTAGACTAATCTTCACTTATTAGTATCTACCGGACTTAAGGTAGTGAGAAGGATGTACTGGTTCCTGCAAAGAGCATTGCCAGAAAGGTTATTCCATATAGTAGACATTTGATAAAGGTTCTTTTGTGTTCAGCAACAAGGGAGCAGTTTTCTCTGGAAGGAACAACCAGGCCAGTATTCTTGACCAAACATCACAGCCCATACTGGTAGCAGCGAATAGCAGCCCTGTGTACAGAGACTTCCAACTGCCAGAGCCAGGCTGCTAGGGGAGCAGGCAAGAATAAATTAATCTTCCAAGCTGGATTTCTGAAACCTCTGGAAAGAAACATTTACATTTCAAACCAAAACATTTCATGACTGTGGAAACCTGTCTACCCAAATGAACACTTCCATTCTCTGGTAGACAGGGCAGCTGAAATGTTGTTATTTTATGAATGTGCTAAAAGTAGAAGCCTGAATTTATTTCAGTGCCCATGCTAATCAGTTCTTCAGTCTTGCGTGTACATAAATAATAGCACATTGCTTAACACATGTTAATTCTGAGAAAGTTTAGCTTTTGTATGGTATAGCTGATATGCATAGGAGCTCGTCCCAAACCTTATGCTCTTGTCCTGTTTAACGCATCATTAGGGGGTAGAAATGCAAATGAGAAACTCAGCTCAGGCTTGGCCTCAAGTACTTCTGAGAGTCCTGAAATACTTCACCAAAGATAAACAAGATCACGTCAAGGGCCTTAGCACTCATCAGATAGGACTCTCTCCCGTTACAAACAGAATAACGTGGCGCTCATCTGCAGTCCTAGTAAACACCGAGGCTTGGCCTCAAGTACTTCTGAGAGTCCTGAAATACTTCACCAAAGATAAACAAGATCACATCAAGGGCCTTAGCACTCATCAGATAGGACTCTCTCCCGTTACAAACAGAATAACGTGGCGCTCATCTGCAGTCCTAGTAAACACCAAACTTCAGTTCTTGACCCTGCCACAAACATACACATATGTGACCATGAATAAATCTCTGCCTTGCTATGGATTCTCAGAATTCCTTACAGTCCCTAAAAGATCTGCTGCGATGCAAAATTTTGCCTTTGCTGCACCCATATTTATCAGATTGTCTCCCCCACTTCTCCCATCTGTCCATCCAGTCATCTTTTCTTTTTTTTTTAATTTATTCTTTTTATTGTGGTAAAATATACGTAACATAAAATTTACCATTTTAACTATTTAAGTGTATAATATAGTGCCTTTAAGTACATTCACAATATTGTATAACATCACCACTATCCCTTTCCAAATCTTTTTTGTCACCCCAAACAGAAGCTGTACATCTATTAAACAATAACTCCCCATTATTCCCTTCTCCCAGCCCCTGGTTACCTTAATTCTACTTTCTGTCTCTATGAATTTGGCTATCCTAAGTACCTCATATAAGTGGAATCATACGATATCTGTCCTTCTGTGGCTGACTTATTTCACTTAGCATGTCTTAAGTGTTCATCCATGTTGTAGCATGTATCAGAATTTCATTCCTTTTTATGGCTGAATAATATGCCATTGTATGGGTGTACCACCTTTTGCTCATCCATTCATCTGCTGATGTACACTTGGGTTGTTTCCACCTTTTGGCTATTATGACTAATGCTGCTGTGAACATTGGTGTATCTATGTGAGTCCCTGCTTTCAGTTATTTTGGGTATATACCTAGGAATAGAATTGTTGGATGATGTAGTAATTCTGTGTTTAACTTTTTGAGGAACTGCCAAACCATTTTCCATAATGTCTGTAACATTTTACATGTCTGCTAACAGTGCACATGCGTTCTAATTTCTCCACATCCTCACCCACACTTGTTATTTCCCATTTTTTTTAATAAAGGCCATCCTAGTGAGTGTGAAGTGGTATCTCACTGAAGTTTGATTCACATTTCCCTAATGACTAATGATGTTGAGCATCTTTAAATGTGCTTATCGGCTCATTATATGTTTTCTTTGGAGAAATATGTATTCAAGTCCTTTGCCCATTTTTTAATTGATTTGTCTGAGGTTTTTTGGTTGTTGAGTAGTAGGAGTAATTTTTATATTCTGGATATTAATCCCTTATCAAATATACGATTTACAAATTTTCTCCCATTTTGTGAGTTGTTTTTTCACTCTCTTCATAGTGTCCTTTGGTGCACAAAAGTTTTTAATTTAATATAGTCCAAGTTGTCTCTTTTTTCTTTTGTTGACTGTGCTTTTGGTGTCATATCTCAGAAATCATTGACAAATCCAATGATGTCAAGATTTTCCCCTATATGTTCTTCTAAGAGTTTTAGGGTTTTAGCTGTTACATTTGGGTTTTTGATCCATTTTGAGTTCATTTTTTTAATAACGTCCTTCCTTCTTTTCATTCTTACTTTTCCCTGACAAATCCTTAATTAGTCCTACCATATACCATGTGTTGTATGGGATACAGTGAGAAGGAAAATAAGTCCCTTGCCTCCCTCATGGAGCTTACATTCTAGTAAGGAGACAGGCAGTGAACATCTGTAAATAAGATATCAATGAAATCACTTCATATGATGGCTGGCTCATGAGATAGTGATCTCACAGGCACAGGGTGGAGGGAACTCCAGCAAGAGCAGAGGGGAGAGGCCCTGAGGCATTAGGGATACAAAATACATATCAAAATGCTCCATTCGTTTTGACCTATTTGCAACTTTAAATGATTGCAAACATTGATGATACTCAGCAGACAGAAGCACAGTTGCAGTTCAAAATGTTAATACTATTATGTCTTCCTACAGAATCTCTTATAGCCGGGTTCTCTCCCATTGGTGAGATAACCAGAATTTTAATGATGCTTTCCACACAGCACTGTAGCATTTTGAGACATAACCAAGATTGGATCACAGGACTCCATGTAAAACCACTAAGCATTAAATTGAAGGAGACCATAAAACTAAACTTCTAGATAAATTGCACAAGTTCGTGGGCTGAAAAGGGACAGTGGGATTAAGTGGAGTGAACCAATGGGAGAGGAGCCAGAGCTGGGCGAGCAGCAGAACCGAATCGGGCCGCCTTAGAGGCCCTGGTTTCATTCTCCTGGCCCGGGAGGTTATCCTACAGCGTCGGTGTGATGGGATTGATAGTGGGAAGAAATCAGTCCAGCTGCCGTGGGGACAATGACCTCTAGGGGGCACCAGTGGAGCAAAAGTGGAAACACCACGTAGGAAGCTGTTCTCCTAGGACCGCAGGACCAGGAGCCATGGTGGTTCTGTAGATTCCCCTTGCGGTGCAAGGGCAGGTGAGAAGTGCTCGGGTTGGGGATTCGTTTTGGAGGTGGGTCTGACAGACTTGCTGATGGGTTGAACTTGCAGAGCAAGGACAAGAGGCATCAACGATGGCTCCCAGGTTTTTGCCTGAGGATGTCGTTTCTGAGTTGAGGACTATGGGAGGGGCGGCAGGAGTCAGAGTTCTGTCTTGTTTATGTGAAGTTTGAGATGCCAATATCCCCCCTCCCCACCATCTTCTTTAATTCATCCAATAACTGTTGAGAACCTACTTACTGTATGTCAAGCACAGAGCAGTGAACACAGCCGAGCACCTGTCCTCCCACCAGCTGTGCTTCCAAAGACCAGCCGATCGCCAGGAAACAGACCTGGAGACCCATGAAAATGGAATCCCGTAATGGCACATTTCTTAATTTCATTTAGGCTACAGGGTAGTCATCATCATATCATTATCCCTCATCCCACAGGGATAAATACGCTACTGGCAGGAGTATAACTAGCAATAGGATGTGCTGGCTGTCCTCAGTGACTTGATAAATAATAATCATTGGAGAAATTAAACAAATCACTATACTTGTTTGGGAAATTAGAGATAAAACCTTAGTTAATAGAAAAAAAAGGAACCACTTGTTGCATGTAGCCTGTAAGTTAATGTTCTAATGAAGTCCTTTTGAATATACCTTAAGTCCAAGTTGCAAAGTATGGTCTTGGAAGATGACCCAGTTCTCTTTCCCTTGGCAGCACCCGCTGTGCTTGGGGCAGAGCTCTCTTCCCACAGAGAACCAGGCAGAAGTTGTGACAACCCAGTTTGGTCATTATAGGAGGGGTTTTCTTTATGGTTGATTTGGTTCTATAATTTGGGCAGAAGGCAAGGAGCAATGGCTTTCGAAAGCTTTGTGGGAAATGAGGCTTGATAAACCTTTGAGTTGGGGATCAGCTAGTACGAAGCATACAGGAAATATGATTTTTTAAAGATGTGACTATTATTAATTTATTTTCCTATGACTACATTAATTTACATAACTTGGTAGTTTTTAAAACTTGTTTTTTCTAAGGTCTTGGTAACTCGTTTTATTTGCTGTTTCAGGAAAGGGTCACCAAGCTTGCACCTCGTCCCCAGTCAGAAGAGGATCTGTCTGCTCTGTTTGAAGCTTCAATGAAACTATATTAATTGGCATTTTAACTGAAAGAATTACCATTGGCCATCGTGGTTCTGAAAACAAAAGTTGATCTAGCTAGTGATTTGTCTTTTCATCTTCACACACACTTGCCTGTTACCAGTTTGAATGTGATCTAATTTTATCCTGTAGCAGACTCCCTGATGCATGGAGTCAAGCTACTTCCATAAAACAGGCTGGACAAATACCCACTATGTCAGACCCCTGGGCCAGACTTCAGGGGTCAGTGTTCCTGCTCCAAACCCCACAGAATACTCCTGCTCCATGTATCAGTATCTATCAAAATGTAAACGTACAACGTAAATGTACACATTCTATGCCCAGTAACTGCATGTCTAGAAATTTATCTTACACAAATACTAGCACAAGTACATAAAGAAACATTGCAAGTATGTTTCTAGCCGCACTTTTTCTAAAAATAAAAAATTGAAACTGGGCTGGCCCGGTGGCGCACTCGGTAGAGTGCGGTGCTTGGGAGTGTGGCGGCGCTCCCGCCGAGGGTTCGGATCCCAAATAGAGACCGGTCCGCTCACTGGTTGAGCGTGGTGCGGGCGCAACACCGAGGGTTGCGATCCCATTACCGGTCATGAAAAAAGACAAAAAAAGGGGAAAAAAAAAAAAAACATCGGTATTGTTTTGATTTGTTACAACAAGCATATGTTACTTTTCTAATTTTAAAAAAGAGGGGAAAGAAGGAAAAATATTTTAATGGTTTAGGTCAGATTCATCTTATTTTATAAAAATACTAGTAACTAATATTTAAAAGGTAAAAATAAATCAAAAGGGATAAAATATTAGAGAACAGTCCTCTAGTGAATAAATTGTTCTTTTGAGAAAAACACCAACATTCTGCATGGTAATTTCTTTGGAAAAATGTTTCTGGTGCTCAGAATAAGATAATTAATTAATCCAAGCAAGCACTTTTGTAGTTTACAGATTTCGGCCTTGCAAATAGAATGTTAAGTAGCATGGCATCGTCCTTCCAGTTATTCCCTGCCTACAGAAACTTCTACAGCTCATTTATCCTCACAAAGGTTACCACATTGAGCTTTGCCTGCCCAAGCTTTGGCAGTATAGATCTCAGTGTACTTACAGATTTACCCATGTTTTAAATTGAATTTTAGTTTTAATCTTATAAATGAGTAACATGTATAATTACATCATGTTTTTTTAAAAACAGATGAAAAAAGCATTACAGTGCCATTCAACCTGCCTAGACCCACTTTATCTCTGTAAAGGTCTTTATTTTGTTGAGACTTACAATACTGTTTATTGAGGGTTTTATCTAATCAAAAATATAAAATATGTTTAAATGTGTACCAAAAACTGGTAAACACGAAATTGGTCATATTGCACCATCCGAAAGATAGCTACTGTTAAAAAAAAATTTGTTTACGTTTTTCTAGCAATTTGTATCCATAAATGTATATTGTACAGATAGCTATATATATATCTATGTATACAACAGAACATTCCAGTTCTTTGCACCAAGTACCCAAAAGGCAGGGTAGGATGGTGCCAGCAGAAATTCAGCTACCCCTTGCAGACCATATCTAGCTAAAATTCCTTCCAGCTTTTTGGGAGAATCATGGAGTCTGAGAGCAGAAGCTGTGTGTGAATGAGGCAGAGAACAGCTAAACATTTTAAACACTTTGCCAATCTGGGATCCTTCAGGAAACTTTAGTAAAATGTGCTGAGGGGCTGGCTAGTTAGCGCAGTTGGTTAGAGCGTGGTGTTATAACACAAGCTCAAGGGTTCAGATCCCCATACTGGCCAGCTCTCAAAAAAAAAGTTGCTGATGAATGTATAAGAATATATTTAGCATAACAAAATCTTTATATATATATATATATATATATATATATGGAGTTTTTTCCCCTCAGCACCACTGCTCCACAAAAACTCCAGGTTGGTTAGAGAACTCTTAAAATATATTCTGCAATGATATATGACATCGTTCAAAGAGCTTTAGACTTGGAGTCAAGGGCCCAGGGTTTTGTTCCGGTCTTGTCCAAGTCTTACTTTATTCAGCCAAGGCCTCTTCCAGCTTGAAAATGCCATGACTAGAGTTTATGTATTCCCCAGTCCTTATGGTGAGATTTTGAATCTAGGGAATTTAATGTAAAATACTTGGAGATATAAAAATGTGCTTGCTCTCTCTCTCTTAAATGTTCGATGCCTGTACTAACAGTAGCCAGACGTCTCAATGTGACTCATCAGGGGAAGTGTTTGGTATTCATATTAATGATGGTTCTGCACAGGAAGAATTTAAAGGTCAAGCATGAGGAAACAGATTTAGGAAGCTTTAGTGTCTTTTATCTTGATACCCATCATTTTCGTCCTTACAGGGTGAGAATACGTAAAAGACGTGTTTTGTGACTTACCAGCTATTAAAAGAGTATAAGGAGATTTGGCACATTTCTGTAAACTTTCATTTTTCAGAGACAACAATTAAGTGCATGTTTTCTAATTTCAAATCCTATTTTTCTATTGATTTCTTTTTCAAAAAATTCTTGGAGTCACAGCTCCATTTATTTAGATTAATTTATTTGCCAAGGCAAGGAAAATTAAAATGGTATTCAAGCGTTTGTATGATACTACTTTCATAACACATATATAGTAGCATTTTCAGATAAAATACATGCATGTCCCTAATTTATTTTGTGATACAAAAATACTAATTTGTTCCAAGCAGGTCCTGTTTCTATGATTTATTGTCAAATGCCACAATAAATAGCTGCCTCGTTTTGCTCCTGTCCCTTCTCCGTGCATAGGAAGGGCTGTGTTGGACTCGGCATTGTTTGCGTAGCTGTGAACACAGCTGTGGGGTGTTTTCCAATGGTCAGTGAAGAAAGTCTGCTCTTGTAAAATACAGACAAGTACAGTATCAAAATAGAGAAAGAGAGAGAGCAAAAATTGCTTTTCTGGCCTTTTAACCCTGAGAAAGATTAATGGTTGTTTGGATTAGAAACTGTACCCTAATGAAAGACTGTTGCCTCTGGGGAGTAGGTATGAGAAAGGGGACTATTCACCTCTGGGTCAACTTTGCACAGACTTCAAGTTTCTGATGACCAGCAACCCCAAGCCAGACAGCTGCCTGGGCTCCGCCATTAAGTGCCTGGTCCTCTGGGAGCTGTTGGGAGACCAGGCCATCACCATCACAATGGCCTGGGGGCGGCAGTCTCCAGGGCCAAGCTGCACTTTGAATGGACAAAAATTGGTTCTTGAAGCCCTAGGTTGAATTACTGGCAGCTGGGGGTGGGAGGGTCTAGCTTCTTATGCTATTATTCCACTGTTTTTCTGACCGCCCCAATCTCTCTCAGAATAAATGCAACCCCCCCACCAGTTGCAATAGCTATTTGAGATTTTGTGCTGTGTGAAATCTTTCATGAAGCCATGTGCAGGACAGCTAACTTCAAAGTAACTTATTTCATTCTTTCTGGCTTTAAATATTGGCTTTTTAGTTTGGGTGCTTTTCATTGGTTTTCTGATTTATAAAATTGGAAACTGATTAAAATAATCATGAGAGAAAAGGAAGATTATTTCATTCTTTCTGGCTTTAAATATTGGCTTTTTAGTTTGGGTGCTTTTCATTGGTTTTGTGATTTATAAAATTGGAAACTGATTAAAATAATCATGAGAGAAAAGGAAGGAAGAAACTACTCATCATCCCCTTACCCAAACACAGCTGTTAACGTTTGATATATTTCCTTTCCATCTTTTCCATTTGGGTGTTGTAATCTTCAGCTCTTTTCTGTCAAGGCATGACATTTTAAGCATTTTCCATGTTGCCACAATCTTCATAATCATTGTTTTAAAAGGTACACAATAGTTTGTCAAATAGGAATTCGATACTTTATCCTGATTATAGGCCAAGATTGCTTCCAATTTTTACTCCTGCCTACAATAAAGCAATGAATAAATGAATAATGCCTATGTGGCTCTTTTCATATTTTTACATTATAGTATGGACATTTTTATTGCTCTAGAGTCATATTATCAGATCATATATAGCTTACTATAGTTTTAAGTGTTACTTCTCTTTCAATCTTGCTTCTCTTCAAAATAAATACTAATGCAAAACAACAGAAATGAAACGAAGTTCATTCGCATGGATGGACCAGGCTAGACTATTTGTGCAGACCCGCAAAAGTCAACTGTGGGTTTTCTTTTATGTCTTAACAGTTCACAAGAACAGATTAAAGTTTTCAATGAAACTTAAGAAACTTACTTTAGTATTATGTTATTGCCTCTTATGTGACACGATAAATCACCAAATCTACTTCTGTTTGTCACTTACTCTTTTTTTTCCTTCTAGTCTCCTCTATGGGTCCCTAAGCCTTGTGTTATTACATTCATGGTCCTCAGTTTTGCTGGCCAAGAAAAAAGACCCAAAGGAGCAACATAAAAATGTTCTTTTCTATAAGAGTGTTCTAAAATTATCCAGGTCTGTGAGTGAAAAGATTGCTGCACTGCAAGGGAGGTGAGTGAGACCAAGGAAACCCCCCACCGAGACCCCTTCCAAGGGTCTAAGTTACTCCTCTAATCAGAAACCTCCCAAAGCTTTGGAGTCGTGCACATGGGCCCCATGATAGCTTTGTCAACATTTACTGGAGCCAGTGTGAGCTTTATATCATACATTGCATGTGAGAAAAAAATGTTTATAAGGCAAACCACTATTTTTTATTTTAGTCGTCTGGTAGGTGTGTAGTGAGCTCTTGTGGCTTTAATTTGTATTTCTCTAATGCCTTGTGATGCTGAACATCTTTCTACCTGCTAGTTTGCCAATGGTATGTCCTTTTCAGTATAATGTCTGTTCCTGTCTTTTGCCCATTTTCTAGGATTGTTTATTTTTATTGTTGCTTTTTGAGGATGCTTTATATATTCTATATACAAGTCCTTCATCAGATATGTGGTTAGCGAATATTTTCTCCCAGTCTGTTGCTTGTCTTTTCGTTGTCTTACAGGGTCCTTCACAGAGCAAAAGTTCTTAATTTGATGAGACCCGATTTATCACTTTTTCCTGTTACTCATCATGCTTTTGGTGTTACATCAAAGAACTCTGCCTAGCTATAGATCTTTTACAGTTTTCTTGTAAGATTTTTGTAAAAGTTTTAGTTTCACATGTAAATCTGTGATTTATTTTGAGTTACTTTTTGTATAAGGTAAAAGACTTAGATTGAGTTTCTTGTGTGTGTGTGTGTGTGTGTGTGTGTGTGTGTGTGTGTGCGCGCGCGCGCGCCTACAGGTGCCCAGCACCATTCATTCATTTGTTGAAGAGACTATCTTTTCTCCACTAAATTTTTTTTTGCACCTTCGTCAAAAATCAGTTGGACATATTTGTGTGGGTCTGCTTCTGGGTTCTAGATTCTGTTCCATTGATCCATGTGTCTGTCTCTCTGCCAGTACCACACTGTTTTGATTATAGTAAGC